CAGTACTTCTTTGTCATGTTCAACACGGCAGAGGCTTTAATGAAGGTTCTCATCAATATGTTGAGAACTTCAAGGAACATGCCCTTGTCTCCTCTGAGGAGAGTTTCATCTTGGAGTCTTATTCCAAGGTCAAATGCGGGTCCCCCTAATCCACGAATCAAGCTGTCCAGATGGACTTCGTCGAATTGGAGACCTTTGCATCCTCATGAGGCAAGGAATCCCAGTAGTTCTGTGAACCACTGCCAGAACAATTCCATGCCGTTCTCTCCTGACCATTTCCTGTCAGGAAAAGCTGGCCCATTTTTTAGAGCTGGTAGGGAGTGAGTATTCTCACTTCGGCCATTCTTATGGCCTTTTCGTACCATTTCTCTAGGTACTCCTCTTGCTCCCCTGCCTTTGCAGGGTCGCTATCCAATGGAGATCTCTCCTTTGGGGGGGTTTTCGCTGGGGGGAATCTTCCTCACAGCATTTCTTTGGTTTCAGGTGAATTCGCCTAAAGTTGTATTTGGATTCTCTCATTGTTTTGAGAGAGTGTGGTTGAGTTACCTCTCTGTTCGAGAGGTTCGTCAAAGGTGGATGTTTGGCCAAACCTTTGGTGCATGCCGATTCTCCTCCTAATTTCTGAACAATGCCTTCTTTCAGCATTGTCTTCTCCTATCCTTGGGAGAAGGATCTCCTTAGTGTCTCTGTCGAGTCGCTGATGATACTCCAGTGTGCTTTCACTGGTGGTTCTTTTCGTGAATTTTTCACGAGTTCTGTTTTTGTCCTGGCCCGTGGCCTAGGGGTATTTTTTTGTTTCCTCACTATTTTGTGAGAAGTTTATCTCCTTCAGCAAGTCCATCTGCTCGCTGATTTTTTCAGTCAACGCGTCAATTGCATTGGCCATTCTTTCTAGAGTTGCATTTATTATGTGTGTCACGACCATGCACTCTGACCCGGATGCCGGCCCCTTTTTGTTTTATTTGTCACCTGACCCATTCAGTTTCCTTACTATATATACTTGTATATTACATCATCATAACTTTAGTCTGAATATCGACATGGTTTGTCCCCCCTAACAAGGCAGCCCAAGCCACTTCGAAATGTGGGCACTGAGACAGTAGGTGGGCACAGCACTCTCTTGGAGTCGCTGAGGCCGAAGCCCAACCCCAGAGCCTTGTCCCCGCTGGTTGTCCCCGTTTGCTGACCCATACCTAACAATGTGCAATTCCTGGTTTTCCAGGAGGAAGTTTGGTTGGGTGAGCAGTGACTCTCCCCAGTTGACATTGCCGCTTCTGGGGGTTCCAGAAGGGGTTCTTGGAGTGACCACTCCACACTCGCTTTGTTTAGGTGAGGCTGTTGCAGAGGGTGCTTCCCTTTCATAGAGGGGTCTGTTCACTGGTTTTTCCTTACTTTTCTGTAAGGCTTCCTCAGCAAACTCCCTCATTTTGGTTCGCCTCCTCTTCATTATTTCGGAGACCTCCTCTGAGGTTGGCGACCTTGCCTTGTCTGGCATGGCATGGGTAGTGTAAACAGCGGAAGTTCTTTTGGAGCTTCCGCACTCTGGGAGATCCTGCTCTCAGGGCATTTTTTCGTGCCTTCTTGGGCTCCCAGCCTGAGGAGAAGTTGGTCTTCACTTTCCGTCCTCCATTTGGACGGAACCTGGAACAAGTCCAGTAGTTTTTCGGATAGCCAACGCAGAGGCTCTTCCCTTTGTTTCCCTTTGTCTGCCTTTGGGGCTTGACTTGGGGACATGGGGGAGGACTCCAGGGGATAGTTGGGCCCTGGAGTTTCCTGCAACTCTATCCAATCAGCTTTTTGGGCTGATCATTTGGCACTTACATGTTTATCGCACAAGTTGATCACCTCCTGAGGAGGTGAAGGATCTTCCCCAGCTGGGGTTAGATCGGTATGTCGTGGAGTCCTAGGGGTATTGGGCCCCACACTTACTCCACATAAGTTTCTAAAACCTTCAGGGGCCAACCCTGAGGTGGTTGCTTTTCCTGGATCGTGTTGATCCTCGTCATCATCTGATGATGGCTGTTGATTTGAATCTCCCATGATGGGAGATTGCGGTTTCTTAATGAACCACTCATTTCTTTTTAACGTCACTGCAGACGTGACCTTGCCCTCATGGGCATGTTTAGGCGTCATTGGCGCTACTGAGTCAGATTGTTAAGATAAGTTTTTGTGGGTTGTGTTGTAACCTCATACACTTAAAAAAAGTGTGAGGTCCCAGTGGGTAGCTCAGCACACAGAGCCATAAGTGATACAATGGTGTGTATTTTATGGTAGTGTGTAAGCAGTTACCCGGAGGTTACCGCTTACCCACATGACTATATGTATCTTAATTACATGTGGCTCGGGGTTTGGGGCTATTACCCTGACACAACAAGACAATTGATATGACAAATATGGGGCTGCAGAGAAGGAATGTAAGGGGTTAGTGTAGGTGCCAACCCTGGTTAGCCTAGTTCCTCAGGCTGTCAACAAAATTAAGTTATATTTGCAACAGTTGTGGGAGGAAAGGCTAAATTGCTCTTTCCACTTTCCCACACTATTGTTAGATATGGGTCTGGGGCCAGCACCGAGGGTTGCCATTGCAGGCTGCTATAAGCCATGATGCCGTGAACAAGGCCTGAGGGTAGGGCATTTGGCCTCAGTGACTCTAAAGGAGTGCTGTGCCCCCTAGCTGTCTCCTGGCCCTCATTTCACACTCACTGGGGTTGCCTTGTTAGGGTCAGAACCTGGGGAGTCATGATCAAGTTGATATTAGAGCTGAAGTACAATAAAGTATCATACAGGATATATATAGGAAGAGGAAATGAATAGAAGCGGACCAGGCTGAAGGCCGAAGGGTCCGGAAGCAAATGGGAACAAAGAGTGGCTGGCAATGACGAGGGTCAAAACAAACAATAACAGATAAATAAGTGAAGGAGTGTAGGGCTGCGATAGTGGTGATGGCAATTGTAGCAGTGCCGGACTCGGAGTTGGGCTGGAGTCAGGCACAGGAATGGTAGCAGCCTGGTGAGGGCAAGTGGGCAGAGTAGGAGGAGTCATGCTGGGCACAGTGCTGGAAGCGGACTCAGGGTGGGAAGGTTGGTGTGGCTGTGGGGAGTCAGCCAAGTGCAGGGGAGCCCAGGGGCAAGTGGGGGGGTGAGCAGGGAGTCCTCAAGGAGGATAGGAATGAAGTTGGGCTCATGCAGCAGGAACGGTGTAGGTGGGCACAGCTGGTACTGCACAAACAAGCCGAATATCGTGATTTCCCCATCCCTGCACATCCCCACTTCACGAAACACATCACACACGTCCTCATATACTATTCCTACCCTTCCATGATTTTTCCCTATTTTTTCAGACACATTCCCAGTCCCCACAGACCAAATTCCCACACCCACCCAGCAGTGTGGCCACTGTTAGAGACCAGATGTGAGACAAAGGAGATGTCTCCATGGCAGAGGGCTTTGGCCTCAGTGACTCAGACCAGGAGTGCTGTGCCTAGTAACATGTCCATGCCCTAATTTACTTACTGGCAGTGAGAACGGAGATTAACTCTAGTCGATTTTATCACTAGGGTGTAACCTATCTACAAGTTAAGTATATATAGTTACAGCGAGGGTGGGCCTGTGAATGGCGGGACCGAGCAGAGCGGAGCTAATGGAGTTAAGCATTAGTTGACTGAATATTACTGACAAGTCGGGTTACAGGGTTAGCAGAGTGGCAGGCTATAACCCAGAAATGGAAAGGAGGGATAGGCCCAAAGGTAGACTTGCAGGGCAAGCAAGTGAATTGCCCAGTGGGGGTGGGAGTGCACCAGCAGACATCGGAGCTGTCTGGAGGCCTTCAGGGCTCCATACTTAGGGAGGCATAGGTAATATATTGAAAAGAGGGGGTGGTGACCATCAAGGGAGTCGGAGGTGATTGCGGAATACAGGGCTCCAAGGTTAGTGAAGAAGGAGCAGAGGTAGTCCGGAAGGATCGGAGGTAGTGGAGGACAATGGCCATAGATGGATATGACAGTATCCCTGTGAGGCCCCAGCCCATATCTATATTCTGCCCACAACATCAATTGATGTTGTGTTGTCTGATAATTATGTTGTGACGCTAATTTAGCATCATGGAAGCTTCTCTATTTATTTGTGCTGAGAATGCAAAAGAATGTATATAAACCCTCAGGGTAGCTGTAAAAGGTGGGTCAGCCTTTGCTTCTACCCTGTTAATATACAGCCCATCAAAGTGTATACTTAGACGGACCAACTGAGGCCTGAGGCAAACAGGGGAATGGAATGTACCATCCCCAAAACAAGTAAGATCCCTTTCAGTGTCCCTGCAGGGGATCCCAAGGGTATCTGCTGCAAGTGCATGCACTGGGTGTGTCATGTGCACATTGTGGATGGCTCAATAGTACATTGATATGAGGAAAGGTCATCTGTGTAAATAGGAATAGAAAGAAAAGAAAATAGAAAGAGGAGAGAATAGGAAGGAGACAGGATGGGAAGAAGAAGGAATAGAGGGAGGAGGGGAAAGGGGCACTGGGTGAAGTGGAACTGGGTTGGGTCAGTGGGTGTGCCCTGACAGGATTCCCCCCTCAAGACTAACCTCGTTAGCCCTGAAATTAAGGACCCCCTTAGACAAACAGTAGTGGCACAGCACTCCCCTCTAAGTCACTGAGGCCAAGGTCCTCATGCATTAAGTCTCGCATTCCACTTCTGGGACCATCCAAATCTGCTGCCTTCTAACACTTAGAAGAGTCCCAAAAACCTAGTCATTGATAACACTGAGGTTCTACCCTTCAGTGAACATAGGATACAAAGGGAAAGCCAGAATAGGGGCAGCAGTGACAGCAACAGAGTAATGATATATGATATGATAGGGAATATGTGGCAACATACTACTAGCTGACTTACAAGATATTGATAGTGGGAAGAGGCAGACACTTACATATCATCCCCTGACAGAAACAGACAATGCACAATCCCATACAAAAGCAAAAACACTAAAGCAGTCAATCATCATATGTTTCAGAAGAAAGAATCATCAGATAATTTGTCACTGGGAGAAGAGATGTCTGATGATGTGCTGCAAGGAGAATAGTTGCTAGGCACTGTGAAATCATAATCAAGTGTAGCACTCAGATACCAAGCAGCTTTGCCAATATCGACAACAATGGGGGCCTTCATCTTGCCCTGGAGCAGAAATCGAGTACCATCCTTGCTGGACTGAGGCAGTAGAAATAGTTGATATTATTGATCAGTCGATCACCATACCAGGCATCTATGTTGTTGGTGCTGTTTGCCTTAACATAAAATGGGTAATACCTCTTGGGACATCAAGTTGTGAGTCTCCATTGAACCATACTCCCGACCCAGAAAGATTGACTAGCAGGGTCCTTCCTGCAGCAAATGAATAGCCCCATTCATTTTTTGGCAAGTGATGGAAAAATGGATGCTTGATCCAAGACTTGTCCAAGTCAGGCCCTGCATCCACCCAGGAATGATGCACATGGACTGTGTCACCTGCCAATGGAAGAGTGGGTTGAGTAGATACTGGATGAGGGATGTGATATGGGCAAGTAGGGCCATGCCAGGATTTATAATCCAAGATTTATCTCCCCGTACATCATAACATGCAATAAAATCACCTGATTCCGTTGACCAGGTAAAAGCACTGTGCGCATCAAAGGCAGCAATGTATTGTGCCTCTGGAGAAAATCCAACTGTGTGACGCTCAGGAAAGGACTCGGAATTGGATTGGGAGGATGGAATGGAAGAGTCAGAAGGAGGAGAGGCAAGTGGCTGAATGTGTGGGTCACCCAAAATGTCTATACATGCCATGTTGTTGTACCAAGGCTTTCCTGGATCCCGTAGAACTCGTACAATGAAGAATCCACTATCTGAGACTGCAGTTACAACAGGATAGGTGCCTACAGGGAGATGCCAAGTTTCACAGGGAGCACCCATAGCCATAGATAGTGATGTTCCCATCAAAATCCTCGGTAGCAACACAATGTCACCATGGATAAACTCAATCCATGCTGGTGGATTGGGTGGATGATTCTGGAACTGAGTGATCATATGCTGATCATCAATGTCAGCAATCTCAATAACACCACTACCAAACCCAAGTGCAATGTATCGACCATCTCTTGAGAGTGCTGCACATGTCACAATGCCATTACGGACATCAGGATCATGGAATTCAGCTTCATAATTGATCTCTTCATGACCCCACATATCAACCTCCTTTGGCCATCCATCTAATTTCACCTCCATAAGTGTTTGGGCATTAAGTGAAGCCTCACTCAATTGAATCAAGTGGCTCAAAATCTTGCCAGAAAGACCAAAGACCCAAACAGGCTCAAAGAGGTGGCCATATAGTTCCCAAAGAGGTGATCCAGGTGGGCAGAAAAGAGATAATGATCGATGAATGACCCAAGAATGGCCTGCTGCCCCATAGAATACTGCCACACCCTCTTGCAGGAGTTCAATTACATCATGATTCTATTGAAAGCAATGTCACATCATTTATATAAACATAATATGAACCAACTCAGACTTACATTGTATTCATCAAATCCTGCTGGCACATGAGGGCACCCTTCCATGTGCAGGTATGTAAGGAAGTTTTGTGTAAGGAAGGAATTAAACTCGTTCTGCAATCCATTGTTATTGGACTCTTGTGAAAAGAGTTGTGCAGGGTCCAGGTGGTCAAGCAGATTGTTAATAACATATCGGATGTGTTGGGGTTGCTCCCACTTGAGTTTAAAATCTGCCCATTTTTCTTTGTCACTGAGAGGGGATTAGTGGGTATTCTGAATTTATTCTCCTTGCAACAATTATTGAAAAGTTGAAGGATTCGTGGTCCAAGGAAAAATCCTTGCTTGTCATTGATAAAAAACACTTTGTCGTTTCCATTGCCAATTGGATCCCCCATTATGAATTCTTTCGCTGTGGCATGATAGAATTTAACACCTTCCACATCCTCTCCAATGATGGAGCTGATTGGTTCCAATGTGGCTTGGGCCTCATCCTCGGCAATTCCTAAAAGCTGTGACATAGAGTACACACTCAGTGATGTACGTGCCGCAATAATGGTGCCAACCAATAGGTGATACATCTTGGCTACATCGGCAGGCATTGCAGATGAATCAGGCATATAGGCTCTTTGAAGTATTCGCAAGTACTCCCAGTCGAGATTGGTGGGTGCATCAGAGAGATTGAGCAGGTACTGGAACTCTGTCTGCAGGGTGCGACCATGCCGTGTCCGCAAGATGACTTCGCGAATTCGAATTGAGGCCATAACAGGCAATTCACGACAAGCCAAAGTAAATGCATGCAGATCTTCCTCCGAAGGCTTCCATCGAGACTTCCTAATACAATCTCGAAGGCCATCTTCCACCATGCAACGGACTGTATGGTACTTCTCCTCCTTCGTAATTA